CCAAAACACAAAAAAGTTGCTCAATATTTTCGCCCCCATCCACGAATTATTTTTCTTCCGACTTGCTTTATGCATGTAAAAACCAGTGAAAGTTCTCGGCGAACGTGTCGCAACATAATTAAACCCGAAAATCACTACAACAGCAAAAACTTACCTCACTTCCAGTCGAATGTAATTCCAATTCCAATTAATAGCTCGTTGAGGCGAAATCCAATTCCATTTGATTCTTGAAATAAAAAACCAAATAAACACTCAGAAACAACCGAAAAATGATGAACAAAAATCTGTGGGGGGATTTTTCTTCACAATTTCACAATGTTTGCAAATTGCGTTAACTTGTTTGTTTAACACTGGCGTACACTTTTAATAAATATCAAATATTATAATGTACTAGTTTAAATTATGCCTTAGTACTTTATTATTGCTTAAGATGTTCGCTTTTGCCAGTTTTGGAATGCAAGTAACTATGTTTGCATAATTGAAACCTTTTATTTTCATTAAATATACAACTTGTGAAATGACGACAAGTAAATTACTTTAACAGGCTTTTTTATGCGCTTTTAATTGTTATTATTTGGCTCTTGAATATTAAATGCCTTGCAAAATAACTGCACTTAAATCACATTTATTGGCATTTTAATATTGTTTGCGCATCAGTATTCATTTACTTTTTTTCTGCTGTTAGTTGAAACTGAAATTGTTCAAGTGGCGGACAAACACAAACACCTGCAACGCGCGCAACTTGCACAAGCTTGTCGACATTTACCGTTGTTCTGCTGCTGCTGCTGCTGCTGCTGCTGCGCCTGCGCTGCGTCGCCGTCGACGTCGAAGAACGCTGCCACTCGCAACGTTTGTATTTCTTTATTTAGAAATTTCGCTGGTTGCGCGTGCGTGCAACTCACTGCAATGCACAGAAAAAAAAAAGAGGGCACCACAGAACGAAACCACCGAAAAAAAACTCCGCTTAAAAAAACCGACGGATAACAACGAAACAACAACGAGAACGGAGCGACGCGACCGCCGATCACGAAAGCAAGATACTGAAGTGTGACCGCATTGCGTAGCTCGAAAATTACCACGCGGCCTAAATGTACTAAAATACACCAGGTGATATGTACACACCCCGGACACAAACCACACAGATCGTGGTTGGTTTCCGTGCTAAGCTAGCTATTATTTCATTGGAAATCTAGCTAGTTCCCATCACTGCCTGGCTATCAATACCTAGTTATTAATAATATAATACATAAATAATAATAACAATATTAATAAAAAATAAACAATACCTAAATACAGTTATTCAATGCAAGACCAACAGCGTATGAGCGGCTTAATTATTTTATAGCCAAATGTAGCTAGATTGGTGATCTGCATTTGGCATCACTGACTGAGCCAAGCAGCAAGTTCCTGAAGTCTGGCAACTCTGCGATCAGCTGTTTGAAAACTTGCAATTTTATTTCCAAACAATAACACATTTCAAATTGATTTCCCCAAGAAAATATAGCTAGACAAGACCCGAAATCTATGAGCCTTATTTGCCGACGACTTGGCTCGTCCTTGAGGCCCATTATCCGCGCTATCCACCACCCGCTCGCCACCGAAAACATCGCAGCACAAAGGTCACCGCTGACAAACAAGCGTTTTTACGCCGGCAAGAGGATGGATCTAAAGTATCTCAATCAAAAGGAGGCCATCGACGTGGACCAGGAGCTCTTCACGGAGTACAAGTTCAGTGTGGATCAGCTAATGGAGCTGGCGGGCTTGAGTTGCGCCCACGCGGTGGCCAAATGCTTCCCAGCGGAGAAGCATCCGCGGATTCTCGTTTGCTGTGGACCCGGCAACAATGGTGGCGACGGCTTGGTGGCCGCCCGGCATCTCTCCTTGATGGGCTACACACCCACCATATACTATCCCAAGCCGACGGCCAAGCCGCTCTTTGAGAACCTCAGCCACCAGTGCCAAATGATGGGCATCTGCGGCGTGAAGGAGTGTCCGTCGGTGGAGAGTGCCGCCGCCAACTATGACCTCATCCTGGACGCCCTCTTTGGATTCAGCTTTAAGCCGCCGGTGCGAGCGGACTTCGTCGCCGTCGTGGAACTGATGCAGCAGACCAAACTGCCAATTGCCAGGTGGAATTTGTTTTGTTTTACCCTCATGCCATCAAATCCTAAACTAATGATGCATTCTGCTTGCAGCGTGGACATTCCGAGCGGCTGGGATGTGGAGAAGGGCAAGCTGACTGAGTGCGATGTGGAACCGGCTCTGCTCATTTCGCTGACTGCCCCCAAACTTTGTGCCCGCCAATTTCGCGGCGAACATCACTACTTGGGCGGCAGATTCGTGCCGCCCGCTCTGCAGCGCAAATACGAACTGAATCTGCCCGTTTATCCGGGCAACGAACTGTGCGTCAAGCTGTGATTGGGAATGAAGGAGTCTTGAGCTGCGCTCTCTGGTTTTCGTGCAACTTTGATGGACTTTTTGTTGCAGAAACACTGACTTTCCAGTTGCGGCAAACACAATATTCAATCAAAAATTGATTTATTTTCGGTAAAAATTTGTTAATTTATCTTTAAGCTAATAAAAAAAATAATGGAATCTTAAAATGAATTAGCAACCAAGAAAATTCTATACTTTACTTTAAAAAATGATTTATTTCGTTAAAAAATAATGCTTGTAACTATTTGAAAAGCTTCTCTGGTTTGGTTCTACAAAGTTTCAAGTTCTCCCTTGTTTTATTTTATATATTACATATTATATAAAGACTACGATCGAAAAGCTAATAAACTATTGGTCGATTATATCCCAGATATCTATTTGTACAAGCGATTGTAGTTCTTGCGCCGGCGATCCTCCTCGAAATTGTTGTTCCTGGCCCACTCCTTGAGGTTTCCCTTGGAGCGCAGCATGGCGGACTTGGAGTCCACGTCGCGCAGCACGAACGGCGAGAATCCAGCGGTATAATCCTGATCCAAAGCGTTGGTCTTGGTCTTGGCAACGCGCGATGGCATCTGCCTGGGCATGGGCTGATCCTCGAACAGGATCGGATTTCTCGAGTGCTTGCCGCCGTGGAAACGCGGCAGACTCTGGTTCTTGTACTTGTTGGTCAGCGGACGGCGCGTATTGATGTGAATCACCTGGCGACCGTTCTCGTCGAGACTGACGGCCACGCGTTTCAGTGTCTTGTTGCCACAATTGGGGCAGAACACCTTGGTCATGATGCTGGTGGTCTTGTAGCAGGCATAGCATCGCAGTATATACGTGCGCAACTGTTTGATGATCCGGCCATTGAGGGCGGCCAGGTGGAGATTGAGCTGCTTGAGTACGTTCTGCAGTGCATAATCGGTGGTCATGCAGGCAACGGGCGGCACTTCATCCGTCTCCACCTTGCCCTCGAGAGCTTTCTTGGCCTTCTTGATGTTTGAGTGCGTGATCCAGCCATCGTCACCCACATCCTCGTCGAGATTTTGGCTGTGTTTGGCTTCCTGTGGCTCGGATACCTCCTCATCTACTTCGGCCGGCTGAGAGACCAACAATTCTGCAAGCTCTTGCTCTTCCTCGGCACTGGGTGCGCATTTGAGCTGCTCGAACAGCTTGTCCAGCTCCTCCTGGCTGGGCTCCTGATCTGGTTCCTCCTCCGTTTGGATGGACTCGCTGGAAAATGGCACTTTGCCGGCCAACTGGGCTTCAATGGCGGCCTTAACAGTGTCTTGGGATTCATCGCCTTCCTGCGCATCCTCGGCATCATCCCCTTCCTGGGATTCCTCATATTCCCCCTCGGAATCCTCATCTTCCCCCTCGGAATCCTCCTCGTCCTCCTCCTCTTCGCCCTCGGGCATGTACCAGCCGACTAGTCTCTTGTTATTGGGATCCTGCATCTCCTCGGGCTTCTCCTTGGATGCAATGGTCTGTGCCATCACGGGCTCCTGGCGCAGGTGGTCAGTGCCCACGGTGTCTGCCTCCAGTTCGTAGGTGAGGGATATCACTTTCAGATCGATGCCCGACAGACTCGCATAGTCTCCGGTTTTCTTGGCGAACTCCACGCAGTGCTTAATGCTCTCCGGACGAGGCTCGCGCACCTGGAGGTCGAAGGGCAGGACGCAGAGGCGACGAATCTGGCGCCTGTTGCGCACCTCGGCCACCACATCCGGTACGGTGAGCACCTGCTCCGCATATTCCTGGAGGGGATTAGTTGCGGTTTTAGATGGTTCGCATTGAGGATCTATGGATGACTTACGTTCAGGGGCACGGCGTTTATGAAGGCTGTGGTGTCTGCCACCAGGAACTTGATCTTTCCGCTCGTTTCGCTCATTTTTCGTGGTACCTTTCACATGAAAAACAATGCACGGCAAATAAAAATAACAATTTCTGCACGTGTCGGGATTAGTGTGGCAGTGGCAGGTTATGATCAAAATACCAAAAAGTTTTTTGGATTTTGATATTTTAATTGTATTTATTTCCATTTTAAAGGTATAAATATTACTCAAGGCAAATCTCATGCAGTCTTTAAAATTGTATAAGAGTCAATCATTGAATGGATCTATCAAACTAAATCATGTAAAAAATATTTGTTTTCACCATTATTATTATTTATACAGGGATGGGTCGGCCATAGTTACTTAGACTTTCGGCGGGACTTTCGTGTAAAGTTACAAATTTACTTAACAAAATACAAAATTACTCAGTTAAACACAATAATGGTACATAATGGTACATGATTATGACTAATATTAAGAGATTAGAGAAGATTTAGTAAATTGGCAGGGCTTGACGAAACTAATAATTTGCTGGAGGTTTTCAAAAAGACTGTCCCACTTTAATTTGTTTTTAAACATATATTTCTATTTTCAATTTAAGTTAATTCAGTCAGTTAAGTAAGTTGTGTTCAATACAATAAAAATATAAAAAAAATACATTAAATAACAATTAAAATAAATACAATTAAAATAAATAGTATTTCATTATTTTGCAATGGAATATTCTAGGGTGCTTGCGATATATGGATTTGCAATCGCAGTACGGTCACACTGCCCTCCCCATTTAGCTGACAGTTCCATCTCTAGTTTTCAAGCCAAAAATGGCGAAGTTTTCATTCTGAATTCGTACAAATAGGAGTCGGAAGTAGTGGAAAGTGCTCGATTTGAACGGAACGGAGCTAATCCGCCGGATTTAGTGATTTAGTGCAAACGAGCGGTACATTCGCGTCATCCGCTAAACGGTATGTGGGGCCCATGGCCAACCGCCGCCATAGCGGCCACCACTACCGTACCCCCACCGCAACCGGCGGCTCCGCCGCCGCTGCCGGACACCCCGCCCCCTCCGCCTCCATCGGACGCGTCCGCCGGAGCACCCCACTCCACTCAGCCGGCAGCAGGCGGAGCGGCCACCGCATCCGCTGCATTCAACCCATATACCAGCGGCCAGGCGACTGGGGCCGGCAACCCCTATGAACAGTATACGGCCGCCCAGTATGCGGCCATGACCCCCGAGCAGCAGTACGCCCTGCAGCACCACTGGCACCAGTGGCAGACTTACCAGGCTGAGTACGCCAAGTGGCATGCCCAGTACGGCGAGCAGGTGAGTGAAATCTGGTAATACACAATGAACTTCCTACAATATTAGTCTTCTAACCCATTAGTACAAGCGTGAAATGGCCGCTGCCGCGGCCGTGTCCGTAAATCCCACAGTTCAAGGCGTACCCGCTCCTATGGTAGCTGGTCCTACACCAGCTCCCGTTCCAGTGGTCGCTGTACCCGGGCCACAGGCCTATCCTGTCGCGCAAAACTATTACCAAGGCGTCTCCGCCTCACCGGCGCCGCCAGCGACACCCCTTGTCGTCGCGGGAGGGCCGCCAGTGCCCGGAAAGATCACGGCCCAGCCGCAGATGTACAATCAGCCGCCGCCGCCACCACCCCAAAAAGGTGGTTACAATCAGCATCTGAATTCCAATCAGAATGACAACCAAAGCATGTGGTCAGGACCACCGTCCATGCAACAGCCGCCGCCAAACAGATATAGTGGCGGTCAAATGAACCAGATGAGCTACAACAGTGTCGGACCAGACAACCTGGGATTTCCCAATCTCCAGCAGCCACCGCCTTCTGTGCAGAGACCAACACCTCAGCCGCAGTCGAACAACATGGACCATGGCCAGTGGGGAAATAACAATCAGCACGGCGCAGGCAACAATAATCGTCTTGCCTGGGATACCAGTGGTCCGCCGCCTGATAATGCCGGGCAACCAAGTCGGTGGAGTGGGCCGCCGCCGCCGCCAAATGATGTCAACAATCGCTGGAATGGACCGCCATTTAACAATAACACCAATGATAGCAATCGCCGCTGGGATGGATCTTCTAATCCAGCGCCGTCTGGCGGGGATCAGCCACAGAGTCGTTGGATAAGCGAACCACCGCCTAGCATTCAGAATCCCAATCAGCAAAATCAAAATCAGAATCGCTGGTTGAGCGGACCATCACCGAGTATTAGTGATCCGCCGCCGGATCATCAACATCACCAGCAAAGCAATAGCAACCAGCCACAGATTCCACGCCAGAATCGCTGGCAAGGCATCAATTCCGACATCGACACACCGCCCATGAGGGCCAACAACAAGCCAAATAGTTTCCACAGTAGCTGGGGAGATGGAGGTGGAGATGGCAACCAAAACAAAAACCAAAACAAGAATCCATTCATAAAGAACTCACAGTCTGATTTTCGCCCAGATCAGAACTCTGGCAATAACAATTTTGGACAGCGAACAGGAAATTATGGCAACAGTTACAATAACCAAGATCAAAGTAGTGCTGGAGGAAGCTTTAATATTAATCGCCGCCAGAGCAATCGCTGGGATAACAATCGCAACCAGGGATTTTCGGATGAAAGAGGCAGTGGCGATTCTGGTCCAGGCGGCTATAACCAAAATCGTGGCAATTTCAACCAGCGCAGCAGCTTCAATCAGTCGAATCAGCAGAACCGCAACCAACAACAACCCAGTGATCTGGACGAGGCCAGTTTCGATCGCCTGTTCGACCAGTGGGAGCAGCAGTTCGAAGACTGGAAGCGGGCCAATGCCAATCATCCGGATCGCGACGAGTATCGCCGCTACGAGGAGGAGTTCGAGAAGCAACGCCGTCGCATCGCGGACAGAAGGGAGCAAATGCGCCGACGTCGCCATCAGCAGATGGGTGGCTCTGCCGGATCGGGGCTAGGAGGCTCGACCGCAGACATGCCGAAGGTAGCAGCCGCAGGTGCATCCAAATCCGAGGAGCAGCAGCCAAATAATGATCCATTCGGAGGCCAAGGCAATTTCGCTGACCAGGGTCCACGACCTGGACCTGGCTTTGGTGACCAGGGTCCCGGCTCGGGACCCAATTTCGGACAAGGCAACAGACAATCCTTAAATCCTGGTCATTTTGGAAAAGAGAATCGCGCCTTCGAAAGCGCCGGAGTTCCAGCATTCAGAGGCAACCGAGGACCGCCACCGGGGATGCACAACCAGTACCAAGACGCCGAGCAAGCCATCCAGCAGACATTGGACACGCAGCCAGAGGAATCCCATGAAAGTCCAACTAACTCGCCGACATCAAATGAGAATTCATCTGATGGAAAGACAGCAATAACGCCAGCTCCACCAGTAGCTCCACCGATTGCATCACTGCCTCCGCCCAAAGTCACAGCTCCAGCTGCACCAGTAGTGCCAGATCCGCCCGTGGTTGCGCCCACACAGCCTCCTCCGATGTCCTCCAATCTTGGCAAGCGCCGGCAACCCGCTCCCACTGCCATGCCCGCCAAGCAAGTCAAGGAGGAGGAGCCCATACTTACCATTTCCCTGGACGACGATGAGGAGGACGAGGAGGAGGAGGAGGAAGAGGCCGCGCCAGACACGCCCATGGGCAGCTTTTTTAAGAAAAACGATGGCATCCCCGGTCTGGATTTGGTGGCCGATGGCAATGTCAAGAATAATACGTCCTCGGTCTTCGATGTGGGGCTCAAGGACTCAGATGAAACTGAAGCGGCTGATGCCTCTGCAAAACATTCAGACAAGTCGTCCACAGCCAAAAAGAGCAACGAATCTCTAAGCACCGCCCTCAAGGATCCCAATTTCATCAATAATCTCTCCCAGGCGGTGGCCAATGTGCAGGAACGCCAGCAGCGCGATCGTCAGGAGCAACAAGAGGATCAGGAACCCAGAACGGATGGACGTCCTTTGTCCTTCGCCGAGTGGCAGCGCAAGAAGAACAGCGGCAACGAAAACAAGTCGCAGGATTCCCGCGACTCGATGAGTACCAGTGGCGGCGAGAGACCGGACAATAGCGGCCCACCTGGTGGCTTTGGTCCCGGACACGGTCCAGGCGGAGGACCCGGCCATAGAGCAGGCTCTCGTCCAAATTCTGGACCTGGCTACGGTCCCGGTCCAGGTCAAAACGATGGATCGCGCTTTGAAAGCTTTGGTCCGAATCAAGTGCCTGGAAATAACTTCATAGACTTCGATGGCAATGGACCACCGGGCTTTGGTCCACCGGGCAGAAACTTTGGACCCAACGGTCCAGGGCCACATGGACCCAACTTCGGGCCCAACTTTGGCCACGGCCCAGGCGGTCCTGGGGGCCCATTCTTTGGACCAAATGGGCCGGGACCAGGTCCGAATTTCGGACCAAACTTCAGAACCAATGGCCCCAACTTTGGACCAAACTTTGGCCCCAATTTCGGACCGGGTCCGGGTTCCCGCAACTACGGACCCCGCGGACCCGATGGTCCATTCGGTCCGCGCCGTGATGACTTCGGTGGCCCGCCGTTTGGCGGTCCTGGACCCCACTTCGGACCCAATGGACCCGGGTCCAACATGCGCGGTTTCAACGGCGGACCAAACAGTGATAATCCCTTCCGCCGGCAAGGCGCACCACCGGGTCCAGGTTTTGGCGACGATGATCTGGGCGCAGGACCACCAAGAGGACCCGGAAACTTTGGCAACCGCAACAGCTTTGGAAATCATGGCGGAGGAGGTGGACACAACAATCGGAAGAACTGGAATGACGGGTATGTGTCCTCAATTCGTTTCTTAAGTTTTCAACTTGATTAACTATTTTTCCCACTACGTATACAATAATATCGAATTTTATATCTTGACGAAAATTGGGGAAAGGGGGCAGAAGTAGATTCTTGCCCCCATTATGCTCTTCTAAAATCCAATATCAATTGTCTGATTGTCTGAGGAAGATATGGGAGCGCTATCTTTTCAAGAGCACTTGATTTTAGTTTATTTTTGGATGGTATCATCTGCAAATATGTTGGGTTTTTTCTTTACACTTTTGGGGAAGTCAAAGTATGGCTGCATGCTTATAAATAATTATTGAAATGTTAATACTTAATACTTACTTACACTCACCTTACCCATTCAGTAATTAGTTGATTTTGTATAAAGTACAGCTGCTATTTGCATTTATAGTTAGTATTTTGAGTGTTTATTATGAATAATCAATCCGTGCGATTAGAAATACCCAAGTATCTTAAATTTGTGGGACTTCAAGCGATTGTTTGTCCGAATGTACTGCCAATGGATTTTTGAGTATAATGCCAAGCTTTCGTATAAGTAATCAATCTGCTTCCTTTCATTCAGCTCTTTTCACATTACGAGTCCGTGTCAAACGGCTTGATGTTCAGATGGCATATATCCTATCATGTATATATATTGTTTTCATTGGAGCAAATCGTTGGGGCTTATTCCGCTCGATCCCACACTTTCCCCACACTTTGTACCCCATCACTTTCTCTTTCTGTATTGATATCATCCAATTTAATGTAGTTAACTTGTGCAGGCCTTTTTATAGTTATCGTTAATGCTGGAATTTCGATTCCAACCCCGTTTTTTTCTTCTTCTCTTCTACTTCTATGCAATACTGATAAATACTGAATGTAAAAACATAATTTGAAACAATGTTACAAACGACCGATAACAAAAATCGATTACCTAAACGGTGGTATTGATTGTTGGCGATCTACCCGATACATATGCATATATGCATATATCCATCAATCTGTCTGATCCATTGTCTGTGCAGCAAGAGAAGGGGGCGGTAGGAAGCTCCAGCAACGGCAGCAGCAGCGCAGGAACTGATCTCTGAACTCTCGATACCGCGATCTGATTAGGCGACTGATGACAGATGACAGATTTGTTTGGGGGCGGCTATCGAACAGGGCAGATCACAACCCCCCTCGAAAATATACATACATATATAACTAGCTATATATATACACGCATATATCAGTCGGATCGCTGCGTCCAGCAGTCAGAAAAAGATCTATAATTCGATTAATTAAGGATACACGCATACACATCCGTCACATTCATTGAAGAGGAGTAAAAAATAGACAACATGTATGAGTCTAATTTTGTTGCTTCGCATATTAATGGAAGTTAATTATTTTTACGTTTTTTGACCTGCAATAATCACTTAGAAATAGCTTAATCTCTAACTAAATTATTTGGTAGCTAAGTTTTGTTCGCTTAAAATCAACGCGACTAAATAATTAACTCATTGTTTTACCAACGAAAAACATCAGCAACAGCAATATCTCGATTCGAGTTATATGTAACTCTTTTATAGCGCGAAGTTATTTAAGTCGTATATGTTAAATATATACTATGGAATTTAATATCAATAAAGGAAGACAAAACCCAAGTAACGTTATTGGGGGATTATTATCCTTTGTAATCCTGCAGGAACCTTTCATTTTTGGTCAACTGTCCGTCTGCAAATGAATCTTTGTTTATACCACATTCAATATCCATTTACATCCGATCGCTAAACATTGGCTCTGGTTAATTTTTAAACATTGTTAATATGTCAATTATTCGATCTAAGTAACTATCTCAGGATCTGGTTGAAAACTTTTGAGAAACACAAAGTAATATCTTGAAAAATTTTACTGCTATACCCCATTGGTTTTTGCTAAACAAACCAATAGGGTATTTCGTTGGAAATGCACTTGATAAGGTTTTGGAATCAAACAAAACTGAATGCGTCCGCTTTCTTGTTTCCGATTTTATTGCATTATTGCATATTGTCCGCAATATTATTGTGAGCTAATAAACCACCCTTATGTAAATTATCAATTGTCCGATTAAATAAAACATTCAATATAATGCAATACATATACATATTGTCCTAAAGATGTTATACATTAATTTATTTGTCCGCTTATTTATGCGATTTTCTAGTTATTCCGTCTCCCAAATCAAGCCAACATTTTCCGATTTAATTAAGATTTGAGTTCATCACCACTTGGATACGGTGATGCTATCTATTTTGTCTTTTGAAATGTAGAATCTCTTTATAAGCAATGCAGCTTGCCTATTCTAAGTTTAGGACCAAAAATATATAAATCTTTCATTGCTGACCTGCAATTTTGAGGGCAGTGGGACATGTCCACTGCCACGCCCCCTTATCTTAACTTAAACAAACAACTATTTTAGTAAATTTCAATCGAAGTAAAAGTTCAAGTGTTTTTCTTTTGGTTTTTAAACATTAAAAACCTAAAAAAAAATAATATACAATACCAAAAATATTACATAAACCAAACAAATTGCCGCAAAAATAAATCAACAAACGTAAACGTAACCATTGTATACTAAAATCGCCAATGGTGTGTTCCACCTACCACCTTCCATCACTGAAAAAAAAAACAAACAAAAACTAAAGGCCGGAGCAACAGCGGAAACAATTCAATGGCAACCGCAACCAGAATGAACCCATCTATCGACCGATGAAGGTATTCGACTATTCCAATAACCCAAAAGCCGCCAAGGTGATCGATTATGGCCACAAGTCGGGTGATGGCAATCCCGTCGATGGGCCAGCCGGTCAGAGACCCGCTGACAGAATTCCAGAATTTAGACCAGTGAAGACCTTCGAGTATGGCCACTCCTCGTTCACGGGATCGAATCGCATGGGAATGCCAGGAGGAATGGAAATGGGCGGAATGGGAGGAGATCCCAACCAAGCGATGACAGGTGGCCCTAATCGAGGCATGGCAGCGGGACCAGGTGGATTGGGAGGACCCGGAGGTCCAGGGAACAAGCGTAAGAATAAGAAAAAAAACAAACAACAAAAGAAGGAGGAGCGATTGCAGTTCAGTCAAAACCAACAGTTCCAATCGAATTCGGTTGAAGAACGTAGTTCTGAACAGGGTTATGAGGTAAGTGGATAGCACAGTTCAAGCCTCTATCTTGTTCTCTAATCCTGTCTATGAATATATTCCACCAGGGGACACAGAAGGATCAGGACGATGGGTTCCAGAAAAGTAAGGAACGCAATGATCTCGAAGACATTTCCGATACTGAAGAGTAAGTTTAAGTGTGTCAATGCTTTTTAAGCTGGTTGTATACGATGGCAGCAGCAATATGGAGAAAGGGATTTCCATTCGACCGCTGCATGCTCCATCGATTACAGTCTGCTTAAAACCTCTGCTGGCTGTATTGTACTTATTGTTCTTCCAATTTTCATCAGTACCCTAGAAACTGTTGATTGCGATGATGACGACGAAGAGCTGCCACCGCCGCCATCGATGAACAAATGGAATCAGGGAAATGACCAGGAGCAGTGTAATCAAAACCAGTACAATCTCTTCCCAGCCAATCCGCAGCGTCAGCAGCTAGGTGACGATTCGGATAAGTTGGCTCCTCCTCCGCCGCCAACCATGTCACTTTTCCCCTCGGCAGCCAATGCCAATGAGAATATTGCTGACCCAGTGACTGATCTCAATCTGGAGATGTGCGTGCCGACCAATGAGAATTGCAATACGATCTCCGTGGACGAAGTGCTCTTGAATCCCGGTCGCATGACCCGTCCCAAGCGCATTTGTATCATTTTGCGTGGCCCTCCTGGCTGCGGCAAATCGCATGTAGCCCGACTCATCAAGGAAAAGGAGCTGGAGATGGGCGGTGCCAATCCGCGCATTCTCAGCATCGATGATTATTTCATCATTGAAAATGATTACGACGAGAAGTGCCCCAAAACGGGCAAGAAGGTGAGAGGGAGTGTAGTTAATTATATGCTGTTAGTTTTACTATATTGCTTCGATTGCCATCTGCAGATACCCAAAAAGGAGATATTGTACGAATATGATGACAGTATGGAGGAGACCTACATGCAGTACCTAATCAAGTCGTTTAAAAAGACACTTTGCGACAATCTGTACGATTTTATAATAGTGGATTGCAACAACAATTCGCTGCGCACACTGAATGAATTTTATTGCCACGCCAAAGACTCGAATTTTGTGGTGGGTTCATGGTCAACGACTCAATGCTTCTTTGAGGGATGTTACATATTATTTCTTGTATTCACTACAGCCCTACATAGTGGACCTGCACTGCGATCTGGAGACGTGCCTTGGTAGAAACTCTCACCAGCGCACCGAGAACGAGATCCGCGTGGTGCTGGACAACTGGTGCAACACACCGCTGCAGTACATCAAACTGGACGTGAGCTCTCTCCTCGAAAACGTTGTCGAAATGGAAGATGTTGAGGACATGGCTACGGTAACTATGCACTAAGTGGTGCGACGCAAATGTGACTGCTACTGTGTCGCCGCTGAGCAGGAGTTTTTGGACTGGCCAGTGGGTCAGTGGGTGGCCAGTCCGGAGTTTCCAAGCTGAATCAAAATCAAAATCTAGTCATGTTTACTGTTTAAGAGATTAAGAGATACCTTTTATTCTGACCTGGCCGGGCCAAGTCCTTTCAAAAAACAACAACAAAAAATACAATGCGAACGCTAAATGAAAACTGCATACGAAACCCTTATTATATAAACTACAAATATATATATATATATATTCCCATCTTATGACATGCAAATTGTGCACCGCTAGCCTTAGACTAAGAAACAATTTCGAACTTACAATTAAGCTTTTAGTAAAGGCAACTATGCAAGCTGGGTCAAGCGAACGTTTTGTTGATTTATGGCGGCTTCATTTCATTTCCAGGACGATAATGCATGCGCCGGCGAAGGGGCGACTGTGGGAGCTTCAGCGGCACACGAGGATGCGGCTGTCGAAGAGACAGACGACAGCAATAGCGCCGACGCCTCCAACGATGTAAGTGTTACTGCTAATTGCATGGATTGATTGGATTCATTTTGAGACATATGTGCGCTGTTTGCGTAGGGGAAATAATGGGTTTATTATTAAATTATTGCTTGTTTGCAAGAAGATTGCATTTTTTATATCCAATTTAATGTACAAATATCGTTACAAATGTGAAGGAGTTTTAGTACTTCGACACGTTGGATACAAGATTCTGATATAAACAAACATGTGCTCAAGCCTGTGATACCATTTTAACATTGCTCTTAGTTACTCAACGCTTTTAAAATTATTTCGAAAATTCAATTAAACGTTGTATGGTTAAATTGCAAACTAACGCGTGGTCGCTGTTGATTAGTCTCCCAGAATCAATCCAGTCAGTTAGTAGGAGTCAGAAATGTTCGGGAAACTAGTGACTAAATGGTTTGTGGTCATCGTATCGGTAAACACTCCTCTAAACTTTCCTGAAATTCTCCCATTGCACTCTATTTAATCCGGCCACCCCAATCGTGCGTTTCGTGTGCTCCCCGTGCAGTGCGGCTTCCTGAAAAGCAAATGGGAACGCGATACCACCGAGGATAATCTAGGTGAGTCCCCTCCCTCCTGTTGGCCCGATTTTGGCTCGCCAGCTAACCGCATTTCTTTGTTTCAGCCCGCTTGGATGGCACCAAGCGCCTGATGCAGAACCGCAGGACTGCCAGCATGGCCGACTATCTCCAGCTGGAGGATTGGGAACCACCCACAACCTCGGCCAATGGCAAGAAGCGGGTGAGTACGATCAAGGGCCAGCCTGGCGAGAAACGTTTCTTTGCAAGCTTGGATTAGAAACCTAGCGAACGACTAGTGGGTTGTCTTCCACATGAGACGGAAGAGGATAGCTATACGTATTGCTATCTCTTCTGGTTGAGAAAGTACAATATCTTAATATACTTAACATACTGCAACGGTTGCGAAAGTATTTAAACGTTTCTTGATAGCATTTCCTTAACAAATTCTAGTTACTAAATTACTAATTAAATCTCTTTTAGGTGCGTTGGGCGGACATCGAGGAAAAGCGCTCGCAGGAGAAGATGCGAGCCATTGGTTTTGTGGTGGGTCAGACCGACTGGAACCGCATGATGGATCCCAATGCGGGCAGTCGGGCCCTGAATAAAACCAAGTATATTGAGCGCATTAAGCGTCGCTAGACGTCAATTACAAACACGCCACAAATTCCAAATTTCAAGTGACAAAAAGCTAACAAAATGAAAACAAAAACTCGCAGCATTTCCATTTCCACACACCCAACACAGCATTTCCACATATGTACATCGGGCCCCACGAGGCGGCAACAAAAGGCTGAAAGGGATCCCGAATTACATGTAATCATCTGTCATCCAAATGCAATCAGTATAATTTTGAAATAATCAGTCATTTTTACGGCTGCATTTAGAAAAACGAATTCAATTTCGTTGACCGACACGAACAGCCGCGTTTGAAAGCATTGAAGCAAGTTATGAATACGGATGTATTTTAATTGTAAATTAAATCAATTCGCTTTGAAACCGGATAAGACATCCCATAATTATTTTTTTTTGTTAAAATAGTTTGAAAATATAAATGAATTGTATGTATGTACCATTAACATAATGTTTACTTCAAGTTGGCGGGTTCATCGAACTTCTGCTGCTATCCCTGTTTTCCGCGTGACAGCTGTCTCTGTTGCTCTGTAAACAACCATTGACAGCTGTTCTTTTGAGGGCGTCGGGGGCGTGGCCGGGCGGGCGCAGTGGGCGTAGTGGGCGGGCATTGTGTGTGGATGCTGTGTGTGCATCGCACTCACATGCCTGCCAAGGTGAATTACAGATGACGGCTCCAGGCAGAGTTGCACAACACGAGGTGCATGTGGCGAGGGGTGGGATTTTCGGGGGGAGGCTTGGATCAAGGGGGTGGATCGGGAGGAGCAGTGCCAGTAGTCACCCATTGACAGTCAGTGCTGATTGAAGTGAAATAAATAGCTAAATAATATATATGTATTAAAATTATATTGCAAAAAAAATATTATTTGCTGGTGTGTTATATTTAATATAAAACACACTTTCCCTTCAATAAAATGTGAAGTTATTGTGTACGAACGTCGAATCTTAAAAGTAACAGTGAAGTAACAGTGAGTTACATAAAAAGAAATAAACATCTAATATTTTGTATAAATCTTATGTAAAATACGTATTTAGTAAATATTTTATAAATATAATAAATAATATAAAATATAATAATAAATATTTTCATTTTCGAATCAGCCCTTGTATACAAATTTTATGATTTTGAAATCGTATCAAATGCGTTGTGCCATACAATTTCTTTGAAACACAAGATATAGCATTATTTTATATATCGGCAGTACAAGTGGATATATCCAAAATAAACTGCACTTGTATTCGCATTGCAGAGCTAAGCACTTTATGTAGCACACTTATGAGCTTCCTTTATTCCCACTCCCACTTATTTAGCTATTATTTTGGAATGCGAAAATGGCCAGATCTGGCGGGTAACTAGCCGAAGGCCAAGTTCTGGCGGGCGATTTTCCGAGTCCCTGGCACGAAGCCGAATTGAAAGCGCTTCAGTTTCTGTTTCAGTCGAGCGACGCAACTCGAACGCAACGGTACATGAGCGGCGGTTGGCGAGCGAATCCAGTGTCCCGTTATCAACAACAACTCTCCAAACACCGAACTGCAGTTGAATTAAACCACAAGTACTGCGTGTTTTTTTTTTCAAGTTCCATTGATACTACATCAGTTACTCAAAATTACGCAAAAGAATTCGCGTAGTGCGAAAATCGCCAAAAATCAGCAGCCGCACTTTGAAGTTACGTCAAAAGGAGTCGCGAAAGAGGAAGAGCGAGCGAGGGAGAGAGAGAGGTGGCAAGAGAGCCGAAAGAAAACAACAACAAGGCAGAAGCACGCGATAGGATAGGAGTAACTGTAAATGTGAGGGGATAAAGTAGGAGAAAATAGAAATCAGCAAAAGAACTTTTCGTATTATTTGTTGTTGTTTTCGGTTTGTTGTTTTTGGCGCGTCGTCGCCGTTTTGCCTTTTTTGTTTTTATTAGTTCTATTTATTTTTCATTTCCTTTCCTTTTCTTTTCATTTTTTTTTATTCTTCGCTGCTGTGCCTGTGCCTTTGTTGATTGCTGTGCAGCCGGCTTTGGCCAAAAGGGAGGGGGTGATAAAGCGAACAGGAAGAGGAGCCAGAGGAGGCTTATGTAAAGCGTGCTTTAAGCGTGCTATGGAAGCATGTCGTCCACTTCCAGCTCCGTGCTAACGTTGTCATCGTTTAATCTATTATTTTTCACCCAAGGTAAGCACTTGACACTTTACATAACTCCCCCATTGCGTACCGATTGCCCGTCCGATTGGGATTAATGCGTGTCCAGTTGGACAGCTTGTGCCTGGGGAGCTGGACGTCCGCTGACCCAATTGGAGTCCAGTTGGGATGTGTCGCCAGTGGGCATTATGTGGGCGTACTTCCGATGGGCTGTGAAAATTGAGATAAAGCTTGGGTGATTTGGGTAAATGTGATTTATGTATCAACTTATTTAATTATGCTTTAAACCCCAAAAACTTTCTAATATATGTAAGCCTAAATTATGGAAAAGCTTTCAGTTAATGAGGTTACAGGACATGGGAAAATATGTTTAAACGAATTTAAAAATATATTATTCTCAGAAAAGTCGTTTTTCTTTATTCAATATTTTAGTTATTTTGCACCGGCTGAAAGAAAACAGACATTTGTGCACCAAAACAAGAAATAACCCATTTTGACTGTAACTACATTAGCGAAATTGTTTCTATTCTGCGAATCAGGGCAGGGCATTTTCCAAATGGTCCATTTTGCCTGTTTCCGCACTTGTTTAAATTCCCGTTTATGTGCCATGAATCTGAGTGCCACAGTCGCGCAGGCCAATAAATCTCAGTCGGAGGGTCTCTAATCCTGGGCTCAATCTAACCATCCCACCCGCAGACCCTTTATTAATCCCCACCCATTTAGTGGGCCACCAGTTCGGCCTGACCAGCCTGATTTGCATGCAAATTGCGTATAAATCCTTGGATTGTTACTGCAACAGTGAGAACTCACCGCGCAATGAGCATGATGGGGCAGTTGGCTTGGTCAAACTCATTATTTGGTAATAGTCGTCATGGCTGGGAATGTTTGCTTTTAATTAAAACAAAAGGCAACGAAACAGTGGTGCTGCTGTTTGCCAAGACAAAACTTCCACAGCTGTTCATTTGGACAAATTGATTTTTCTGCACCTAATTGTCGAGGTTTTCTCGAGGGGCCCAAGTGTGGCAAACTAAACCCTACCAATTTGGCAAACTTTTTGGCAAATTAACGAGCCAAGGAGATCGGCTGGTAGATAGCTGCAGTCAAGGACGTGCCGCCAAGTACGCTGCCTCCAATCAAAATTGAATTCCCACTTTTGTTGAACCAACACTGCGGTTTCGGCACTTCGACAACAACAACTGCACCACCGAGAACAAGCGAAACACATGCAACAAGAGCTGTGCCACTATTTTTAGACACATGCCACCCGGGCCACAAGGTGCCATTTGCCATTTGAAACGGGGTACCAACTTTGGGGCAACATACTTGCTGCAAATGCTCTAACCGAACAGTTGGACCAAAGTTTCAACTGTTTTTCGCAATTTATGGCAACGAAATAAAGCTCTTAATATTCATGAATGCATTCAGCGGCTAGCAAAAACATAGTTGAGGCACCTGAAAGTGGATAAGTTTCTTGGGAAGTACCCCCAAAATCCTATTCAAGTTTGAAAGCCTTTTCACGAATGTCCAAGAGTATGCAGCAAGAACAAAACATCGTCTTCTGTCATTTATCCTTGATAATTTTGGACTCTAAATATATTTTAGACATCATAGCAGTTTTAAAATAATTTATTCAATACTTGAATGCTTACAACTTGAAATATTTGTTATGTGAAGCCACAATGTTGGGGATTTAACTTAATACAAAATTATTATTTAAACGAGGTTCTGTATTATGTAAGTCCTCTTCTTCGTTAAAGGGTATTGAGAAGACAATGACTCTATGAAAGTGTGGCTCGGTTTTCAATGTCAATGCCAAAAAGGGACGAGTGCCACACACACCCAAACCATTTTCCTATTTTAATGGACCGTGTGTGAATTTGATTTTCCATTGCATTCATTTTCCGCCTGGTTGGCTGATTCGAGAGGCCTGAAGGAGGGGCAGCATTATTTGATTATTTTTGTTTGCTCCCGATTTTAATTGCTCCGCAGAAACACAGAGGCTCACACATGAAATCCTTCGAAATAGGCAATAGAAAGGTGCATTTTGCAATTATGCCAACTGAATGGAACCAGAAGTACGGCAGGCACAACAACAACAACTTCAACAAGTGGGCAGGGTCGGCAATGGGCGGAGGACATCATTACGGAGAAGGTCCTGTGCCCGGTTCCATTTCCATCGCCACCCACCAACCATCATTTCACCCTTCATCTGCTGTCTGGTTTCTCCAGCAAAGCAAATAAAGTACGAAATGAGAATTGCCATGGTATGGTCACAGTGGTCTGGAGTGGTTTGAAGCGGACTTGCGCTCCTAATTAAGTTTGAAAACATGTTGGGGAAATTGCAATCTGTTTTTGTAGTGAATTTCATTCGGCCTCTCGCTGGGATATTTTTCCAACTTTCTTTTGTAATTTGCACCATTTTCGCCCGCTTTCTGACCACTGTGCTGTGGGTGAAGAAACCCGAGTTGAGCCAGGGGCTGGATTAGCTCTTGTCGTGACCTCGTGGTCCGTTGGCATGCAAAATGCAACTAATTATGAATTTTAATTAATTCTGGCATTTTATTTTGTTTGCTGCTGCTGTGCAGCAATTCCGCCCATGGGCAATAATAATAATAAAGTGACTCGGGGAATTGCTGCGCAAGTCTTCAGCACTTTCTGCCGCTTTTCTCCTAGACTTTTCCCCGGCTTTTGGTCAAGAGCGTATACACTATACATATAGCTGGAAATAAAAGTAAAATGGGAGGGAAAACAAGAGCATTGAATGACTCTTTTGTTCTGGTTTTCCCGCTTCCCCCGCATTCAAGTGTCTGCCTTTCGGTTCTCTCTGTCGTTTGATTTGGCCATGGTAGATGGCATTTCACTTTGACCATTCAAGAATCCCATGTCCAACGAAATATTTGTGTTTTTGAATGCACACCTTTTAAAGGTGCTCGCTGGAATGCAAAGTCTTTAGAATTGCATCTCAGTTCAGTGGTTTTCAGCATCACATTTTACCAACAGCTGGCCAACAAAAATTCCTTCCGTAAATGGCAGTCCTTTGATAGAGAAAGGCGGAAGCTTAGTGGCACTCTTCCTTGTCCAAATCGATTTGTTCGGTCAAATAGTTAATGGAGTTTTCAGTATTATTGGAAAAGAAATTATTGACAGTTGCCGAAACTCACCATTTCAATAACGCGCATCTTCCAGCATTGGACTTCAATTCTTTTAAAACAGATTCCTCATTATTGATTGCCTGCTTTTATTTGCCCAGCACATTACCGCCTTTGTTTTCATTGTCATGGCTTTCCAGCCATATATTGTGCCATATATTTAACTATTTTGTTGTGCCAGCAGAATAATCGCATAGTCTGCTTGTGAGGGCAACAGCTGCTGCTGACACTTGTGCCCCCCATTCTTAACCCCCGTGCCCCGAATGCTTAACCCCTGCTGTGCGCACTTATGCCTGAAAGCTTTATGAAATTCCAATTTAATGGTCCTGTGGCTTAAACTGCATTTTGTCCACTTCTCCATTGATACCCCCCATACCCCTCCACCCCTGTCTTGCCCCACCCAACTTGTTTTCTGTTCAGGAATCGATGGACATTCTGTGGTCGTTCTAAGCCAAATGCATTATTAAGCGCCATAAAAATGTCAGGGTTGTCGTATAAATGCACCGAGAACAAGATTAACGACTATTGGAAAGTACGCAAACAAAATCATTTGGAAATATATTAGCCAAATTATCCATTTATACGAGGGCTTAACTGAGTGTATATCGTACATTGAAACGGGCACATGTTTAATTTGTTTTGAGCACGAATACATGACTTTGTTAGTGGATAGCAATTAGCGTCGGAATGATACTGAATTCTTCTGAAAATGATTTCACCTATTTGGTAATTTTTTTCTGTGTATTCCCACACAAAATGTTTGTTTTGGCTCATGTGTGGAGGGATCTTGAAGTGGGCTTTTGGTCTTTCGCCGGTGACACGAAATGCAATCGGCACTCACTGTGGGAGTCATAAATATTGCAACACACAATTCCACTGAAAACTGACGTAGTCAAGTTGCCAGGACTCTCAGGATCGCATTTTGCAGGACACGATTGCTGGCACTCTACATTAATCGATGTGAAATCATTCCATTATTCAACAGCCACGTGCCTTTGTTTACTGTACTACAATTAAATTATTTAGATGCAGATGGCACAGAGTGTCTTGATTATGAAATTAATTATTAGAACAAGGAAATTAATAACTACTAACTAAACAATAGGAAAGAATTGGAACTTATGCATTAAATATAACAATAGTTGATTGGGATTTGCAGCTCTTGTATATTTCCAAGATCTATATTTATTGACATGAAATACTTGTTACCATTCAGAATTGGTACAAACATTTGAAATTCCCTGTTAATTGAGATAAATAATGAATAATAATTTACTGATTTTGATGACTGTTTGAAGTTGCGCCTTTTAACTTTTAAATTTGAATTAAAAAACCGACAAACGAGCCTGGTTGGAGGATACATTTCAAAGGACGCGACTTCAGCTCGACTTGCACAGATACTCAAGTTGATGCTTGAAAAGTTTTGCCCCTCCGGCGACCCTTGAACTCTTCCATTTGTGGCCATTCTGTTTCGATATCCCAGCTGGGTGCCATCAGCAAAGTTTATTTCGCCGCTTGTTGCTTCAATCGCCGATCTGAGGGGCATATCCGAGGATATAGCACGTGTAGGAAGGATGCAGGATATAGTTGGTAGCGCAAATTATGTAAAATGGACGCATTAGGGGAAACACGTGCCGCAAAAAAAGGGGCGAAAGTACAGGTGAAGTTCAGCGAAGAGGACGAAAAAATGCAAAGTTTAAGGCAGATGTTAGTACGCCTCTTTGAAAGTATTTAAAGTCTTATTAAAATTCAAGTAACGCTAATAATTACAAGCCTTAAGTCATATCCTTAATGACTTAATAAGAACAAATTAAGTCTTATATAAAGCGTTCCTATGCAGGGGCTCATTACTGTATGATAAACGGCTCCCTAGTTTGGCACAAATCGAGCCGAGTGCTTAAATAATTAATTACAGAAAAGCGCAATTCCATGGAAAGCGTGCCAAAGTGGTGTTGTGGTAGCTCTTTGGGTTGGCCATCGTGGGAATATAAATAAATAGGGGAAAAACGAAAAAGTTGGGGGAAAGAAAAGCAAAACCAGAGGGACGGAGAAGAAACCATCACAAGTCCTTCACTTCTCACCGTGTTGCTAAACCAATTGGCAAACATTTTTATATTATTACATTTTCACAGTTGCATTCGCTGTTGCTTTTTCAGCTTTCTAACGGCGAAAACACAACCGCCCAGCCAACCCACCCACTAATTTTCGCCCCTCGTTTTCCGCACTCTTCCGGGGAAAATTCCAGCCAATCAGTCGTCGGGGTAAATAGTTGGTAACTAGGGGTTCCGCATCCGGTTAATAAACAAAAGGTGTCGCCCGCCCGTCTGTCTCCGGATTTATTTGCCCGGATCTCTGTGCTTGTTTTGGCCATTGTCTCTTGAGTTTTGCTTTTTGATGGGCGGTGGATTGCTGGTTTGGATGGGACTGGGATTGGGATTGGGTTACGTTTATCGCCGGGTGGTTTTCGTGGCTCTGGGTGGCTACGCTTGGATGTGCTGTGTTTATGGCAAAATCAATGCGGACCGCGTCAAAAAATAGGCAACTGGCCAAAATGCGTCACGGCCAAAAAGCCCTGGGGCGCCCTAATTAAATCGCTCGACAATTGATGGTTTGCCCATCGGCAGAAGTGAATGATTGAACGGCAGCTGATTGAGTGGCCCTGCACTGGGGCAAAATCATTGTAAAGGGTTTACCTAAAGGTTTCTTTTCCAGTTTAAGAAGATGTGTTTGAAATTAGTGGCAGCTGTGTGTGTTATTTCAGCGTTGTTTTGCTTTACTACCACTATCTTCCCAATGTCCACTAGTTTTATCGCCATTCGATCCTTTCTCTGCGTGTAAATTTAGGCGTCCCCATTGGATTCGTGCTGAAATCAATTAACTGACGTCAGCAAGGGACGATGATGATGGTGATGGCGGTGCTGTGGGTGCTTTTTCACAGGGGGTGTTGCATACTTTTCGGCAAGCAGCTTGCTCCTTACATAAGCCCACATGGGCTAACTTTGGTCTTCCAGCTCCCAGCTGGAAGCAAAAAACAAAATATGTGTAGTACCCCCTGCCAGTAGCTTCCTGCCAGGCAGTGCAAACTTATTATGGCCATTTTTGGCTTGTGCGAAACTTTATCAACATTATGGATGACTGACTACTGACTTACATCTGCCCCCAACTTGGACAAGGCTGAACTTAAAATTGCCTCGTATATGTGAAAATGTGTGTTTGGTATATGTTTGTTTGCCTTGTGCTCGGTTTTACTTACCCGCGAGAACTGGCCAACTTAAAAATAAAAGCAATCTTATTACGTTTTCGTGTAGTGGCAACTTTTCAGATACATCTGCCATGCAGATAACGAAAATGTATTGCAGCTATAACCACTCATGACAATCTGAGCAGGGAAGTGTAATTTGAAAGTTCAGGCTGTGAATTAATTAAGCGACTTGTGGATCATGTATAATTTTATACATATTGTGGCACATCTCAATCCGCTGAAAGGCCACGCTTAATTCCTTCCGAATTCATGTGACTAGGTGACTTTTGAAAGCCTGAAATAAAATATGGCGAATGACGTTTGCCATTGGCGTTTATTGTTGTTCTTTCTACGGCTTTTGTTTTTGTTCTTGTTTCCTGTCGAACGTGAATGTGAAGAAAAATAAGAAGAAGAAGCGGAAACAGGCAGCGTCATAAATATGTAAGTAGTGTGTGTATGACCTTCGCGTGTCGCAGCAACATTTTCAGCATTTTCTGCATTCAGAAATACAACAACGTTAAATTGAAGAATTTGTTGTGCCCCCGCCTCTGCTGTTCGCTGTTCGTTCTTCGTTGTTTTTGTTTATTGTTTCTCTGTTGTTGTTCCTTTTTGGCAAGCAAATCATGTTGCATGTTCCCACCGCTCTGACCTCTGACCCCGATACATCACCCGTCCCCATGATTTATTACTCCGTGGCCTACGTCCGCACGAGAGACACGAACTGCAGGAATATTACCAGTGCCTCCAGAATGAAGAAGAACATCTGTATAGAAGTATAGTAGGCTCGTATATAGGAAATAGAAATCTAAATATCTATATACCCCAGCTAGAGTCTGCAGGTTCAGGTGGTAAATGCCGCAGACATCGATCTGTATGGGATCCTGCATGATCTGCAGGGCAAATTGCTCGATTTGACTTCGTTCCAGTGGTGTTTGTCCTGGTAGATCATTAAGTTGATGTTGCAGGTGCTTGGACTGTCAAGATATACGTGTCACTGCTAAGCTTTGGACATATGAAATAATAATTTGGGATAACCCACCTTGGACACACAGCGATGACAGGCGGCGCAGATGCTCCAGATCTTGATGAGGGTGGGGCACACGACGAACATGGTCTGGCTAAAGATGAACAAGGTGGCGGGAAATACCTGCAGATACGCCACCATGAAGTACACATTGCAGACGATGATCCAGTCGCCCATACAAAGGACATTCAGCAGCAGCAACGAGAGTCCAAATAGATGCGACAACGAGCGGGTCACATTCGCCAGATGGGCATAGTCCAATCTGAGTGCTTTGTAATCCGAGCAACCGGATATCACCCGGTGATGCAGCTGTTCCAGCTGGTCATCCAAACGATCCACCAGCACCATCATTTGTAGATAGCGAGCCCGAACTGCCTGGAGGCTATAGGCATAACGCAGATTCTCCAAATAAATGCCACGAATGTTGTACTCAGATAAGACGAGGAACGCATTACACGCGAATAGTATGATTTCCAGGACCAAATGCTTGTATATAAAGGCTGTGTCCTTGACCGGAGGCAGTTGCTCCTGCAGATTGCGAAAGCGCCGGCACTCGAACAGCGCCAAAAAGGCAATACAGGCATGGATCATTTTGTAGGCCATATTAACGGCCATGATGACCTTCGCAAAAAACAAGGGCACGGACTGAATATCTGGTGTTTCTTCCATGAAATATGCTTTTATTTCACCGAGCAGTTCGATCAATATTAGCACCAGGACGGTACTGCTCAACAGGCGGCCCAAACGACTGCCACTCCAGCCACAAACCAGTCCGCATAGCTGAAAATAGCCAGTTAAAACGTGTTCCAACCACAGCGACATTGGGCTACCAACTGAGGGATCCACACTTCCTCAGGGCCACTACGTAGGTACCGTATCGTTCAATTAATCAAAATGGAGGTGCTACGAGATCGTATCGGGCGCGTAATTCGGTTAGTTCTGTCAAGGGGCGAAACGCCAATGCTTGGTGACCCCGATTGCTTGAAAGTATTCTCTTGCTGGGACTCATACCTCAATCAATCGAACTCCAATAGAGTTTAGGGATAAATATGCCAATTAAGTTTGGAATATTTTGGGTTTTAATGCTCCTAAGCCTTTATGACTATAATATTTATTGATTGAAACACCTCGAGCTCAATGCTAATCTGTGTATCCCTATGAAATCCATTCCAGTGCTCACCGTACTCAGCTCGACGATCAAGTACAACGAATACGCGACGGACAAGGGCGGCAATGTGAGCATACCGTGCATAGCCCAGGGAAATATAATGTGGGTGAAGGAGCACGGCAGCAACAGCACGATAGTTCAGGTAAATTAATGCGGATTCCGGGGGAGTCCAAAAAGAAAACATAATAAATATCTGAGATAAATACCCAAATTGTGTCCCCAAAGACTGGCCGTGTTCTGGTGCTGCGAAATGTGACCACCACGGATGCGGGAATCTACGTGTGCTTTGCGTCAGTGCCACGCCCATCGACAACAGCGACATCAGCAACTACCTCACCGCAAAATCAGCAGGCGAAAGCAACGCAGCGACTGGAGGATGAGGATGAGGATGGTGGCCAAGGGGAAACCGTATCCCCCAAGGGTGATGGCCAGCAGGCAGCCGAAATGGAGGAGGAGGTGGAGTACCTCGCCCACCAGCGAACCAAGCTCATTGTGCGCACCGTTCCTGGTCCAGTGTCGCAGCTATACTTCAAGGCCTCCACCATACTGGGCTTCCTCATCTGGCGCTTCAATAAGACCCAGTCCGGTGGCTATCCGGTGCGCAGCTTCACGGCAGAGTATCGCAACGTCTCCTACAAGACGCCGCCGGCGAATGCCAGTTTCGAGCACGCCTGGAGCAGAATGGATCCGATCAACATAGCCTTTAATGTGGTGAGTATCTTGAGTTTCTTGGATATTTAACTAGGATTTAGTGTCTTGTCGCTGATTTAGTTTGGTAATCTATGTAAATGAACTTGTTACAGCGCCAAATGGAGGTCTATCGCCTGGCACCCAACACCACCTATGAGTTTCGGATATGGGCCAACAACGAACTGGGCAGCGGCGAGGTGGTCACCACCAATGTGACCACGCTGCCGGAGACCAAGGAGGAGGGTGAGTACTGCGGGCACTGCCTGCTTGTTTAACCATTCGAATCCTAGAGATCTTAGGCTCCATTAGGCTAGGCTAGGCTAGGTTCAATCCAGGCTAGACTATGTTGATTATGACTACTTTTTTCGTACAACTTTGGTATTCTACTTTAAATGTGTAAACTGTAATTCTAAACGGTAGTTGATCATTTCTAATTTCCAATTGGTGTCAACATATATACATTAAGTACCATCGTATGGGATTACAATCGCTACATAGTATGGTATAACATTTCAATATCTAAGACCAGACCGTAACTAATACCTATTTACTGCTTGCAATCCTATCCGCTGGCCCAACTTTAGTATCTTGATTGGTAGTCAGCATTATTTACAATAAAAAAATCCAGAAAAAAGTGTAAACGTATAGCTGTATAACTCATTGTTTAGTACATTCGATTTGTAATTTTGGTAATTTTCGTTGTCCATATATATCTCTCTCCCCTCTCTCTCTCTTTCTCTCTCTCTCTCCCTCTCTCGTTGGTGTGCTATTTGTCTTATTTGTGCCTCTGTCTCTGTCACGCCCGATATCCAGATCTCATACGCCTTATAAAACCCGACCTAGACAATTTCGATCCACGCATTTGGATAGTGGCCGTCAGCATAGTGCTCGGAACCCTTGTGATATTAGCGATCGGACTCTGCATTGTGCTCTCCAAGGAGTGCTATCAGTCGGCGCAAATGGGTACAGACTAAGTCGATCAACTCCAGCTTTAGCTTCAAATGAATATATCCATCTCGAACTCCAGAGTCTATATACATATATATACGTATATTCCCAGTTCAGAGGAACTAGTTAAACAGCAAAAACAATTCCCGAGATAATGAGCAACAATTCACCTGTTATTTCATTTAATTGCGTCTCTTTTACATAACTACGAGTATAAGATATATTTTTCAGTTCCCATTTGGCTTGTTTTCGGTTCCATTTGTTGTTAAATTCATTCACATACATTTTAAGTGCATTGTTTAGTTTTGTTATGGCTATATTTCAATGTTATTGGTGTCGTTGTTGTTGTTGTTCGTTAATGCTACATAGCTGTTGTTGTTGCCGCTATTGTTGTTAATAATTAATATCCCAAGCGTTGTGTTTAACCGCATTTAGTTTTTATGTTTGCCAGCCGGACGCAAAATGTTTGCTTTTGCCGTTGGATGTTGTTAAATGTATTCTGTTTAAGTCCCCTTATATACTAAATATATGTGTGTACAGATGGCTCCTGTGACCTGTAAATATAATTACAATGCGAAATGCCTACATGAATGTATTTGCTATGAAAATCTCTGCGGACAAATCAAATGCTGATTCGAGGCAATTTATTAGCCAATTTGGGCTTACATTTGCCCATAGTAAAACGAGTAGGTCCAATAATGTGTAGAAATGAATAGTTTATATTTACATTAGATAATAATAATAAGAGTAGAAGCAGCTAGTATAAACAGCTATAATACAATATAAATATTTGAATCCAAGTTGCTTAAACTAAATTGTTCAATTCTAGTTCTCATTGCAATCGAAAATTATTTAGCGCCGCAGAATATGTTTCTTGTATGTATTTTCTCACATTTCTTAAATCCAAACTCTTTTAAATAGAGCCTAGCCTTAAGTAATGAAAGCTGTAATTTCCTTGAAATAAACTAAATCCAAATCCAGTCCTAGACCAAGAATATAAAAAGCTTTAAGCACTTAAACTGTGATAGCCTGCACTTGTAGCCAAAAGTCAATCAAAGGAAACCAAATCAAACTAAAAACCGCCTAGAGGTCTAAATCAATTTTAAGCTTTAGATGCAAATGGATAAGCCACAAAAATTTACCGAATGAATATTGTAAAATGCCTAGACCAATGAAAATGCTTTATCAATGTTGTAACCGTGTATGTACTTTACCGAATATTATTGTGTTATTTGCATTTGCAACGATAAAACCCGTAAACGCACGACAATTAAATGTTTTGAAAAACCAAAAAGAGTGGATTGTATGTAATATTCCGTTGAAATGCTATTTAGTTTTGTTTTGAGAACACTCGAGCTTGGATTTCAATAGAAAATGCACACAAAAAACACCCAAAAAACATACAAATACTATATGCATAAGCAAATGTGTTCAAAATAATACACGTAAATGCATAATTTCAACTACAATCTTCATGATGTTCATAAATTCCATAATTTGGATTATTGGCAACTGACAAACATGCATTTGAAAAAGAGTGCAACAAAATACCTATTATTTTGGACACTGCTGTGCGGTGTACACTTATTTAGCGAGATAAAGTTGTTGCTTGCATTACGCATACGCCCTGTGCGACGCTTGGGGGCTAAAGTGTCGCTTTTTCGAGTGTCACTTGGCTGAAGCGCCGCCTGTAAATATTTGTGTTAAACTGTTGCACAGCTACACTCAGAAAAAATTATGAACACCCCGAAACACACACATACCAACACAGACAATACAAAAATCCCTAGCAAAAGAGGTAATGTAGAGAACAATTATCAAAGATAATCCTAATAAATGTTTTTTCTTCTCTCTCTCTCTCTCTCTCTCTTCCTCTCTTTCTTCTTCTGCTCTCGAACTCCTACTCCCTTTTTCGATGCAATATCTATATAACAACATTCTGTTAACTTTTCCGATTTGCCTAACAGAACTGCAAGATGGTTGGGACAGCATTGAGCTTATACCGAACATAATACTTAATCCCGGTTTCAGCGAGTCGGACGGCGGACCAGAGCCAAGTGGCCAAGGTCATGGGGGTGGTGCTGGCGATCAGGATGCTGGGGAGGATGACGACGACGATGTGGCCATGCCATTTCCGCGCACCATCATCTTTGGCCAGCACCATCGAACGCCTCCGCCGCCGCGCTTGCATTTGCCACCGCAGCACCACCGCCATCAAAACCAGAGCCACCACCACCAGTATCATCAGCAGCAGCACCATCACCAACACCACCACCGGCGTCAGGACGACGATGATGACGACGACTACGAGGAGGAGCACGAGCCCACCATGGAGCGGTTCAAGCGCAAAGTTTCCGTCTTCTTCACCGGACCCACCATCAAGCGTATTTGAGACGTGATTGAGTACAAACACTATTCACCTAGGTTGTTGCATTGCGGCTTGATCGGATAGTTAGGATCATTGTACCACCACCACACCATATACATAGATATAGACAGAGAGAGAGCTTATCGATCGAAAGTTATGTACGTTTTCATTTCGGTTTCCTTGTCCAAGCTTGAACTATGAAATAGCAAAAAAAAAAAAAACAAACAAACAAAAAACAAAAAAAAGGAAAAAACGCCACAAACCGCCAGAGATTTTGGTTTAAAGCTCATTGCATTGCTTCTATGCCCCGGATCACAACTATATAGTATATATACACGTATTATAAATGTAAACCAAAACAAATATATTGCTGTGATACAAATTCAATTGAACGAACATTGTAAGGATTTACCATAAAGCACACGAAACACCAAAACCCAGCTATTAACCATCATGCATTTGCTGAAGCTCGTAGCCAAAAAGCCCATATTATATTTGGTCTAGTTAACCACGCTATCTGAGTTACACCCACTGGACTATTCAGATCCAGATATAGACGACAGAATTTAGCGGACAAGTTAGCTTAGAGCCATAAAAATCTCAAAAATAAAAAAGAGATCTGTTACCGAGTACTAATCAAAATAAATGTCCTTATAGCTAGTCCGTTTGTCTGTTAACCCGAACTAATGCTTTTCTGTACTAGGGTAACTGGTTTATAGCTGGTTTATTAAAATGAAATCTGTTTAACAATTAGTCGATTGTAACAGATCTCTGATAGTCCAGATAGATATCGTTCCGGACTATATCGTTTCAACTTGTCCTTGTTATGGTTTTGTTGTAAAGATTTAACAAACTGTGAAACAATTTTATAATTGAGCAAATATTTTGCACTGTAGAGCGCACCAAAAGATCTATATATAGATATATAAATATATATTTAAAACCGTGAAAAACGTTTGATAAACATTTTAAATAAACGGCAAATGCCTTGTGCTTTAGTTCGGCCTCAAAGCTAAATAAATTGATTATGATATGATATAGGAATATTTATTAACGTAGTTAAAGTAGCTGCAAAACCAAATATTCAATGAAATGAAAACAAAAATTGCTTCCACTCAAAGAAAACAAAATCTAAACAATGAAATTGTTATAAAAGATAAATCAAAACTAATTTTAAACAAGCGAATATTGTGAATATACCGAAACAATATATATATATAGATATATATATATATGGAATGGTCACAAAATGTGTGCAATGTACATAGAGATAGCGAGTGGGTATCTTAAGAAAGACTGTAGTTAATGTTTAAGACACTTTGGCCTGCGCTTTTACCAATTTTTTGGGGCCCAACTTGGCCCAAACTCTTTGGTTCCAACAATATTTTGCATTGATCTGCTAGAGCTACAAACAAGTATATAGTAATAATATTTCTAACAATTCGGAATGTGCACTTAACTAAGCGAAGATTGAAACTTCAAATCAGAAAGGCGGCTAAATCCTATATAAATAGAACGAAGTTAAATAAGCAAAAGTCTCTCGCCTAAGCCCTGATCCTAAACTCTTGGCTGTATTTCTAATTGTTATCGCTTCAGGTTGAGGTTTATTGTTATAGCGCCAGTCTCCCGTGAGCAAAATCGCCCCAAATTACCCAAAACAAATTATTTTCTAATCTTTCTAATCTTATTTTCTAACCCAAGCCAGAACTGGAGAAGATTAGACCTCAACACCCCACAAAAACACCGACAACAATAAAATAAATCTAAGTTTACAAAACCAAGCTACCATCCTTATTTGCGATTTTGGGACTATTTTGGGATGGCCTCTCAGACTTTTGTAGTTCTTAAATGATTTAAGATGTACTATATAGTTGCTCAAAAAATGTACAAGCTGGAATATTATTTTTAAGCTCTTTATCGAGCGTTTATTTGCTGAATTTCGCGATGTGCTCGTTACATGATTAGGTAATCTCAAGAAAAGGGCCAATATGGGTTCAACTTAGGGACTACAGTGTTTGTGTGGTTGGTTGGTTGGTTGTTTGTTGGTTGGTAGTTGCCATTCCGGTGTCCAGAGTAAGCAGACTCATCCTTACTGGTAGTCCTTGTTGTCCTGGTTGGTGTTCCACGTCTGGTGGACACCGTGGTAGCTGCTCTGCTTCTGGGCGGGAGCGTTGCGTCCGAAGGGAGACTTGGGGTTCACCTGCAGGATGTAGTCACCCTCCAGATCGTGGGCGGCATCGATGCCCATGTAGGCGCGCTTGCCGAATCCATCGTTCTGCTTGTACTGCTGCAGGGAGTTGGCGGGCACGGCGGGGAAGCTCCTCTCGTTTCCGGGACGCACGGATTCGGCAAAGTAGCGGGTGGCACGCATGGCGGCCTCGACCACGTTGCTGGCTCCGGGAACACCGGCGGCAGGTCCATTGGGATAGAAGTCAACATCTCCGGAACGGATGGGAGTGCCCATGCCGTAGACCGAGGTGTGGATGGCGTCAACGAATTCGGCATCACCGCGAGCCAGACCGGTCAGGGTGTTCCTGCTCTTGGCCACAATCTTGGAGGGATCCAGACCGGTGACACGGCGCAGCTTTTGTCCGGTGAGACGGGTGAATTCCTGGGCAGCGGCACCGGCAACATGGGCACCCACATTCTGGCCAATCAGGTGAATGGTTTCGAAGGGCATGTCCAACTCGTTGACCATCTGGACGATCCACTTGCCGATCTTGGCGCCGGTCTTCTCGATATCGAGCATGGCATAACGCTGGTAGGTGTTCAGTTTGGAGCCCAAATCGATCACAATGATGTCGCCGCTCTGGGTTTTGGCGTTCTTAGCCTCATCGCTGTAGTCCTCCTCGCTGCTGGTCCTCTGGTTCTTCCTCTGCTCGTAGCTCTGATCCTGGTAGTCCTGGTTGTAGTTCTGGCCACGCTGGTGCTGCTGCTGCAGATTGTAGCGCTGCATGTAGGCCTGCACCAGCTTCCTGGTCGCCTTCTTCACGGTCTCGGTGGTCTGGGGCAGTCCGGTCACAATGATGGTCACCTCATCCTCGCCAAAGTTCTGCCTCTGCTTCAGGCGCTGGATCATCTCGTTCAGGGGAGCAACGGTCTTGTCGCCATTGGGCTTGGGCACATAGACCTGGATGCCGCTGGGCACATAGTTGGGCTCAACGTTGTGGTTGATCTGCGACAGGTGGTCTGCAAAGTATACATAATATAATATAATTTTTTTCAATGGTTTTTATATCGGAGTCTAGGATTACTCACAGACTTGCTGCAGCAGCTCGGCGCCACGCTCCAGGCTCATGTTCTCCAGGCGCTCAATGGTGTAATCGTCGACGGCGGGAATGGCCTCCAGCTGGGATCCGGAGAGCCACTGCGCGGGCTTCAGGGCCTGGTTGACGGAGTTGTCCACACGGCCATTGGGCTTGGCCAAGGCGGCGACCGCCAGGCAAGCCAGAAGGCTCAGCACTCTCATGGGGTTCATGGTTCGGATGCGGGATTCGGGATTCGGTCCTCGGGATGCGACTTCAACACTGAGCGAGTTGAACTGACTTTCCAAATCCCACGATGGCGGTATATATACCACAATTTACGCTGAGCGATTTCCCATTTTCCGACACTCTTTTCGCTGGGTCAGGCTTTAATCGGCCACTTGTGCTGAGTAAGGGATTTTGGGTGCCTGGGAATCGGATGAGTATATATGCTATCGGTAGCGGAATAAAGTGTATATATAAAATAGACACGGGGCCTACCTATAGCTGACCCCACTGATGACTTAGCAGCACCTGCTGCTGCCTGATTATTTTAATTTGTAACCACTTTGTAGGCTCCGCTGATTGCAACATTGTAGTTGTGCGCCGGATTTGATCAAAAAATGCATAAAAATAGATAAAAAATTGACAGTAGTTTTTTAAATGGTTTTTATAAATGGTTTTTATTGATTTTTTCTTTGGCACTTTCCTTTTGCCTACTTTAAAGTCCATAATTTTCCATTTTCAATTCAAGGCCAAGACAGTTCATTGATTCCAGATTTTTGCCACTGATACGGAAAGTATGGAATGTTTGTAGTTTCCAAGGCAAGATAGTAAAGGCTTGCATATAAGTTTATATGTTATTATGGACTTTAGAAATGACGGCACGTTTTGCAAGGAGATATGATTCAAATATCCGGGATTCAGTTTATAATGTATCACTTTGATCGAAGTGATACTGTTCTCCACGCTATTTCTTGAAAATGTATCTATATTTATATAAAGGGACATATCTTTTTCACTGCCTTTCAAAGGCGATCTGCGTAACTCAAAGAAAAGTCCAGAAAATCTGAAAGCGAACACTTTAATAAGCTTCAAAAATTGCCCAAAATTGCTAAGTATTTTTTATAAACAAAAGCTGTGACTTGACCTGAGCATGAGTTCAAGTCGTGCCCCCCTGTCAAGACCCCTATGTCACCTTTTGTTTATGTTATGAAAGTGCTGGTTAAAGAAGTTTCCCATTACCTGATGGATACCAAAAAAAGAGAAAAGGGGAACAAAATTATGGAGCTCATCAGAAGTGTTGCAAAATCACTGACGCTGCGAGTCAATTTGTGCTGATCCAGAAATCGGCTGCTGAAATCAATTGCTTCCGGCGCGTGCATTATAGTGTGTATATACTACCGATTCCAGGGGGTATAAAATGCATTGAGTCGGAGCAGTGGGCATGCAGTACAACTTGGTACGGTGTCTGAAACAGTCGAACTTGGAAGCCACAATGAATCCTCTGCGCACCCTTTGCGTTCTGGGCTGCCTTCTGGCGGTCGCCATGGGTAATACCCAGTCTGGCAGCCGTTCCGGTCGCCGATCCAACTCCCTGGACAATGTGGAGCAGCCCAGCAACTGGGTCAACCCACGGCAAGTCGAGGAGCTGCCCAACCTGAAGCAGGTTACCCTTAACAAGCTGCAGGAGATGAGCCTGGAGGAGGGCGCCACGCTGTTGGACAATCTCTGTAAGTTCAAACAGCTCTAAAATGTCTCGCAATCATGCAATAATACCATATCCTGTCCCGCAGACTACCTGTCCCAGTTTAACCATGTCTTCCAGCCCGATTACACCCCGGAACCCAGCCAAATCAAGGGCTACATTGTCGGCGAGCGCGGCCAAAGGATCGAGTTCAACCTGAACACTCTGGTGGAGCAGGTGAAGCGGCAGCAGAGATTCGGCGACGATGAGGTCACCATCTTCATCCAGGGCCTGCCCGAGACCAACACCCAAGTGCAGAAGGCAACCAGGAAACTGGTGCAGGCCTACCAGCAGCGTTACAACCTCCAGCCCTATCCGACCAACGATTACTCCAGCGAGGATCAGCGCCAGAGGAGCTCCAGCGAGGAGCAGCAAACGCAGCGCAGGCAGCAGAACGGTGAACAGGATGACACCAAGACCGGAGACCTGATTGTGATCCAGCTGGGCAATGCCATCGAGGACTTTGAGCAGTATGCCACCCTGAACATTGAGCGTCTGGGCGAGATCATTGGCAACCGTCTGGTTGAGCTGACCAACACCGTGAACGTGCCCCAGGAGATCATCCATCTGATTGGCTCTGGACCCGCTGCCCATGTTGCCGGAGTGGCTGGACGCCAGTTCACCCGCCAGACCGGACACAAGTTGCGCCGCATCACCGCCCTGGACCCCACTAAGATCTACGGCAAGCCCGAGGAGAGGCTGACCGGACTGGCCCGTGGTGATGCTGACTTCGTCGATGCCATCCACACCTCCGCCTACGGCATGGGTACCAGCCAGCGATTGGCCAACGTGGACTTCTTCCCCAACGGACCCTCGACCGGAGTGCCCGGTGCCGATAATGTGGTCGAGGCCGCCATGCGTGCCACCCGCTACTTTGCCGAGTCAGTGCGTCCTGGAAACGAGAGGAACTTCCCCGCCGTGGCCGCCAGCTCGTACCAGGAGTACAAGCAGAACAAAGGCTATGGCAAGCGCAGCTACATGGGCATCGCCACCGATTTCGATCTGCAGGGTGACTACATTCTGCAGGTGAACTCCAAGAGCCCCTTCGGCAAGAGCACTCCCGCCCAGCAACAGACCGGCTTCCACCAGGTCCACCAGCCCTGGCGCCAGTCCTCCTCCAACCAGGGTTCCCGCCGTCAGTAGATCATCGCACAGTGATCCATCGATGACAACCAGATCGCACACCTCTCATGCGAGCGAACCACTCTAGCCCATCCTCATCCGGCAGATCCCTCTGCCAATTGCATCCACTATGTATAGCTAGCTTTGTTTTTTAATTCACAATAAAAACCTTTGCATTTTTAAACATTCGAAAGAGTTCAGTTCAATATACGAAGCAAACCCAGTTCAATTCACAATAAAAACATATGCATATCGAAATGTTTGAGAGTTTTAAATGCTTATAGCGGTCATAAAGGTAGCACAAAAAAATACATACGACAAACATTTGGATTACATGATATGTTTATTTGATAAAGAAAGCATATTATCCATTATGGTATGTAGCGTACATACGCACAACCACATATATAGATATGGCGCTATATATGGGACGATGAACTACGGACAATATTCCTTGCTTACTACTGAGTTGGCAGGCGCAAAAAAATTGGGTTGAGATATCACTAAGCTTAAATAAGAATAATTAACGTAGAATTTCCACTTGCTTCACTCATATTCACCGTCTCGATTTCAACAACCTCATCAGAACTAATCACAAATTGGAAAAATCATATACAACACGGGGTGCAATGGGAATAGATGTTTCTTTTTCTTTTTATCAATGCGAATGGGTATCCAGATGGGATGGGTTAATGGATTTAGAGGCTTATTTAGGGCTGTGTTTCTTTTTGTTTTTATCAGTCTAATCCCGGCATGGCTGATCCGAGGGCGACCAGGTGCACATGCCGCCGACGCCATCGTAGGTCAGTCCCTTGGGACAAGTGTACTCCCATCCGACGATTCCACCGGTCTCCTCGAAGCGGGCGCAGGATATAAACTTCCTGCAGTTTAGGGGATGCGGGAAATTTCCTTGTGCCCGGCACTCAATGATGCCATGACCATGAACGATCACCTTGGGATCGCTTTTGGTTGGCAGAATGCTGCCACTGCGTCGCCGTTGGGCCACCTGACTTTGACCCACTGAGAATTCCTCATCCAGAAATTGACTACTTGAGGTGGCCGAGATTACGGCAGACTTGGCCGGCGGACGACTGTAAACCTCGATGTATTTATGCGGACGACGACGACTCTGCTGGCGACGGGAGAGAGGAGGAGCCGAGTGTCCAGCCGGCGTAGTTGACCTCAAAGATGACCCCAAAGTGGACGTGGTGGGTGGCGTAGATGTCGTTGACTGCGGCCGACGAGGACGTGGGATCAACTGGCGACCTGCAGTCATATTACACCCAGTTAAATACAAACAATTATGGATTGATAATACACTTACGGATTCCCTGGCCAATAACTGGTAATGGTAGATTGACAGTAGTGCTAGCTGTGGTGCCAGCTGTGGTGCTAGCTGTGGTGCTAGCTATGGTGCTCTTCAGTGGCTGCGGTGGCAATGCCAAGTCGTATTCATCGCGTGGACGCACCTGCTCTGGTATCTGGTTGAAGCGGCTCGTGTGAATGCTCGACTTGGCCACCTGATCCTCGTCGTCATCGTTCAAATACAGAGTGGTGGTGGTTTCCAGGCCCGAAACTGGTGGGTTGGTGGTGCGTGCGGACGGCGGAGTGGTGGATATAAGGGTGAGGCGGCGCTTGAACAGAGGGTTCTGGGTTCTGGGCACCTCGGTGGCTAATGGGGAAACAATATCATGACATGAAATAATAATTTTTTTATCATAACTCGGTTGAAAATGTAATAAAGCTAAAGGAATTACTGTATTTGACAGCTAATTACCAATACGATCCATATCAATTTTTGACGGATTTAGGAAAATTAATTTTTTTTGGTAATTTTTTGCATTTTTTGCCATCAAAATTTGAAAAAAATGGCAAAAAATTAGCATTCCCATTTTTGAACACAGTTCGATTGGAAATTTAATTGCGAGCGCATCGAGGTATAACATTCCATGTTCAGACAATTATTTTAAAAGTTATAGCCAAAAAACTGATTATTTTATGACCGAAATTCGAAAAAACGGATTTTGGCAAAAATTGAAATATTTTATATGGGCATTTTAATCATAACTTGGCCAAAAATAATCGTAAAGATGAAAGAATAACTGTTTTGAGCAGCTAATTACCAAATCTAACCACCCCTGTCACTTTTTGACGGATTTAGGAAAATTAATTTTTCGGTCAATTTTTGCATTTTTTGTAAGGGGTAACATCATCAAAATTTGATAAAAATGGCAAAAAATTAGCATTCCCATTTTTGAACACAGTTCGATTGGAAATTTAATTGCGAGCGCATCGACGTATAACATTCCATGTTCTGACAATTATTTTAAAAGTTATGGCAAAAAAACTGATTATTTTATGACCGAAATTCGAAAAAACGGGTTTTGGCAAAAACTAAATATTTTAAATGGGCATTTTAATCATAACTTGGCCAAAAATGATCACAGAGATGAAATAATAACAGTTTTAAGCAGCTAATTACCAATACTAACGACCCGTATCATTTTTTGACGGATTTAGAAAAATTAATTTTTTTGTCAATTTTTGCATTTTTTGTAAGGGGTAGCATCATCAAAATTTGCAAAAAATGGCAAAAAATTAGCGTTGCCATTTTTGAACACAGTTCGATTGGAAATTTTATTACGAGCTCAACGACGTATAACATTCCATGTTCAGACAATTATTTTAAAAGTTATAGCCAAAAAACTGATTATTTTATGACCGAAATTCGAAAAAACGGATTTTGGCAAAAATTGAAATATTTTAAATGGGCATTTTAATCATAACTTGGCCAAAAATAATCGTAAAGATGAAAGAATAACTGTTTTGAGCAGCTAATTACCAAATCTAACCACCCCTGTCACTTTTTGACGGATTTAGGAAAATTAATTTTTCGGTCAATTTTTGCATTTTTTGTAAGGGGTAACATCATCAAAATTTGATAAAAATGGCAAAAAATTAGCATTCCCATTTTTGAACACAGTTCGATTGGAAATTTAATTGCGAGCGCATCGACGTATAACATTCCATGTTCTGACAATTATTTTAAAAGTTATGGCAAAAAAACTGATTATTTTATGTAGGAAAGTCGGAAAAATAATTTTTGGCAATTAATATCATCAAAACTTGAAAAAAAGTCAAAAAATTAGCATTCCCATTTTTGAACGTAGTTCGATTGGAAATGTAATTACGAGCTCAACAATGTATGCCATTCCATATTTGGGCCCATTATTATAAATGTTTTTGCCAAAAATATGGTAATTTTTGGCAAAAAATCATTATTATGGATTTTTCTCAGAGCTCGACAGGTTTGTTTGTGGCCGTTATGAAGTACGTTCGCTTATCCTATTGTTTCATAATGTATTTAAATATTATTCCAAGCTTACTTACCACTTTCTTCGCCGTTGGCCGCTGGTGCGAAGGTTGTCAGCCGACGCGTTTGAAATTGGCGGCGCAGAGCAAAGCTGGCGGGCTGGAACTTGTGTTGCTTTTGTGTGATGTCATTGCTGCCGCTGCTGCTGCTGATGTTGCTAGTTGCTGGCTGTAGTGTTGCTGCCTCGCCGGATGCTGCTGCTGCTGCTGCTGCAGCACCGCTCTTGGCTTTCAGTTTGCTCAGATAGATGTTGCTGGTGGTTCTGCCACCGGGAGCAGATGTTGCTGCTGGGAAAGCTGTTGTTGCTGCTGCAGTGGTCGTTGTTGCTGCTGCCGCTGCTGCTGCTGCGGAGGGTCTGCTGCGCAGTCGGTTGTATTTGGAGGTCGTCGGTGGTTCTGCTGCTGGCTGCTGCGTGGTGGTTTCAATCGCTGCCGACGTCGGCGAGTTGATTATCCGCCGGCGGACACTCAACACCGGTCGCCGCGAAACGCTGCCAGTCGTTGGTTGTCGCAGCTGCCAGTCGGTAGTCAATAGTTGTTCGTTTGCGGCACATGGAATTATATTAAAAATAAACACTCATTTTAGCATATCGTGAATTTGAAAGATATTCAACGTTTTTGCAACTCGCTGTTTGGTGTTTCGTATTTTTGTTTTCGTGCTTTTTTTTCCGCCGGTGTGCAGTCAACAACAATTCAAAAGCGCGCTACATGCTATAAACAATAATAAATCATATTAATAATATTAAAGAATTGGTTAAGCGTAAGAAAATCTACTAAAGCCTTAAATAAATTAGTACTGTTTGGCGTTTGTTGTGTATTGTGTTTCACTTCACCTAGGGCAGTGGGCATTGGGAAACGGGAATTTGGAATTGGTAAGGGAAACCCTTCAAAAGGTGCTTTCTCTCGCCATCTCGACAAGATCAAGTTGACCGCTAAGTGGGCCAACCAACCGCAAAAATGCAGTCAGGCATTTTAATTGAAGGACGTTCGAGTGCAAAATAAATAGCACGCAGGCATAACAAGTTATTTGCTTGGCTATTAGTTTGCGCTAGTTTTGCTTTGTCCACCAATCTCGTTGACATTGAAAGCAATACAGAGCACAGCTTGAAGTGGAATTGGCTGTAATTATACTAAATTGAATTTTGTAAACTTAATGGAAAACTACTTTGATGGAGAACCAGCGCATTTTTAATAACAGCCAGTAAACCGCAAGAATAAGCTAAACTAATAAAACTCTATATTAATTAAAATCCCTTTCAAAATACGCTTGCAAGGTATTTAAATATATATTTTAACCTAGACGCTACCAAAAACAGAGAGAGTTGCTGGCGAGAACATTTTTGGTGTCAATGTCGCAGACACCTTCGAGATAATGAATGTGCCGGAAAAATACGCATCAGCCACGGTGCTTGCATAATGCTGATGGGCTTCTTCGATTAGCAGATCCGCAGATCGACGTCTGTAATGCTGCATGGTATCTTCGGTCTCTGGCAATGCGATTCGACCGCATGCCAATGCGATTGCGTAATCTGAATCCCCAACATTCCCCACTTTTTTTCTTTTGGCAGATGCGCAGTTGGCTGGTTTTTGGCTCCCACAAACTGGTTGGGTTTTTGATTAAATATTGTGCAAGAGAGTTGGTCAGCTCAAAGAGCGATGATGCGTGCAGGGCGTCGTCCGCCGATTTGCTGCCTTCTCAATGGGTTTATTGTGAAAGTGGCAAAACGAAAGACTCCAGACACGAACGCGGCGAGGAAAGCAGTGTCCGAGAAAAGGGTGCCGCTGTTCAAGGGCAAATAAAAAAAAAGCGAAGGGTTGCCATTCATTGGTTGTTAAAAAAAGCAATAAAAATAAAAAGTGCTGCCCCTTAAAAATAATAACATAAACATATGTAATGGAATGTATCTAATCCTAT